TGGTCTTGCAGTTTCGTCCTTTTGTTTTTCTTTTTCTTTCTTCTCTTCGTTTCTTCTTCTTTTCCATTTTATCTCCATCATCCACGCTATCTTTTCTTTGCTTCCTATTATTATTTTTTCCCATTCTTCCCCTTCCTTTCTGCTTTTTTCACATTTTTCTACTATGTGTTTCCAATTTTCTTCCTCTTTCATACACATTCTGCATCTCTTATTTTCTTCTTTTTTTCAATACGTGCTTCCTCTCGTATTATTACCTAACCTAAACCTTTCCCTTATTTGTAGGCCTTTTATTCTTCCCTGTCATTGAATTTCTTTTAACCTAAACCTTTACATTTCTTCTTTCAGTTCTTTGCACTCGTTTATGTATCTTGATTTTTCTAGTTTTTCTTCTAGTTCTTTTTCTTCTTTTTTCTTTAGCTCATCTCTTATTTCTTTCCAAAACTCTTCTCTCATTTCATCTCTCTCTTCCCTCTCTCTGTATATTTTACTATTTTCTAGCCTTTCCTCTCTCTCCTCCTTCTTACCCTTTTTATCTTTTTCATTTCTTTCCCTTTTCTTTAGTTCTCTCCGTGCTTCTTTTTTTATTGAGCCATCTCTTTCTTGTTTTATTTTGTTTTCATACCTCATTGCTCTTTCTAATGCTGTTTCATTCATTTCTTGTCTTCCTATTTCCCATCGTATTAGGTAACTTGGCGTGTTTCTATCTAATCCTAATACCCACTTTATGTATTTTAGTTGTAGTCTCTCTATTTCCTCATATCTCTTCCATCCCCAGATTTTTACTCCATACATAATCACGCTTTCACCAGAGCATCGAACAGGTTCATCCTTAGCTCCCAGTTTTCTCTAAATAGCCTTTCTCCTAGCCCCCATAGTCTTCCGAGTCCCATATTTATTTTCCCTTCTACCTTCTTTATCTGCTTTCATTTCCGTTATTTCTGCTTATCACATATCCCAAGTAGTTGTACTCTTTAACCATATCTATCTTCTCACCTTCCCATTCGAATTATTCTTCGTTCCTCCTTCCTCCTCCTCTCTTGTATTTCATTATCTTTGATTTTCCTACATTTAACTCTAATTCCCTTTCTTCCAGGGATCTTTTTAATTTTTTCAGCATTGCTTTCATTCCACTTTCACTCTCTGCCATCATCACTATATCATCTGCATATCCTAATATCTATATTTTCTTCCTTCCTATCACTACCCCTCCTTCCTGCACCTGCTTGATCTTCACTTCCAGGTCGGCGAAGGCAAGATTAAATAGCGTGGTGCTCAAAGGGCACCCTTGCCTTACGCTTTTGTAAGTCTCAAACTCCCCAATTATTTCTTCTCCCACTTTTACCTTACTCCCTGTTTTCTTGTATATTTCTTCTATTCTTTTCCTAATTTTTCTATTTATCCCTTTCTCTTTCATTGTTTCCCATATTTTCTTCCTCTTTATCTTGTCAAAAGCGGCCTTCATGTCGGCAAAGAATACAAACAGTTTTCCTCCTTTTTCCCTTATTTCCTTCCCTATTATTGTTTATAATATATATATTACGTCCATTGTTCCTCTTTTCTTCCTAAATCCCATCTGCTTATCGCTTAGCGTTTCATTAGCTTCTAGTTCTCTTTCCAGCTTTTTCCTCAGTATTTCCGCATATATTTTATATCCCGTGTCCATCAGCGTTATTCCTCTATAGTTTTCGACTTCCTCTTTCCTCCCTTTCTTATATCTTGGTACTATTATTCCCTTCCTCCATTCTTCCGGATATCCTTCTCCGTTCCATATTCCGTTTAAGCATTTTGTCATATCTTTTATCAGGCCTTCCATGCCTTCCATCCACGCTTCATTTGCTATACCATCTTCTCCTGTCGCCTTTTTCTTTTTCATTTTTCTTATTACCTCTTTTACTTCTCTTTCTTTGATTTCTTCACCTTTCTCTCCTTCGCTGTCTTCGGTTTCTTCCCCTTTGCTATCTTCCTTTTCTTTCTCTCCCAGTTGTTCCTTGAAATGCTTTAACCATTCTTCATTTCCTATATTTTCATCTAATCCAATTCTTTTCTTCCTATTGCCATTTACTTTATCCCAGAATTTTCTTCTCGTCTTATCTTTTCTTATTTCTTCTGCCACTCTTTTCCCCTCATCTTCTTTTGCTTTTCTTATTTCCTCTCTGTATTCTCTCTTTGCTTCTAGATATTTGCCTCTGTCTCCTTCCCCTTTTCTTACCTTATTTAACTCTGTCATCACCCTAGCCCTTTTTATCCTGCAATCTTTACTCCACCAGCTTTTTTTCGATCCTTTTTTTTTATCTTCTTTTTTAAAACTGCGTTCTTCAATCTATTTTTTATCTCTTTCCATTTTTCTGTTCCCTCTATTGCGTCTATCCATCTCTGATACTCCGTTATACCTTCTACGCTCCAGTCGTCTATCATTCTTTCTTCCTCTTCTTTTCTTTCTTCCGCTGTTTTGTCTCCCAATTCCATCTCTATTGGTAAGTGGTCCGACTTTACCCTCTCCTTTATTTGAACCTTTTTTATCGCCTCATCACCTTCCTCGTTACCTACTACATAGTCTATCGTTGACATTCCTCTCGCTCCTATATATGTTTTTTCTCCCTCTTCATCTCCTTCTTTTCTCCCATTCGTTACCACTAAGCCCCTTTCTCCTAGCCATTTTATTATTTCTTCTCCCTCTGCGTTTAACACTTTATCCTTGGCCTTTATTTCTAAGCTTTCTTCTGTCTCCCATTCTCTCCCTTCATTTCCTGTTCTTGCGTTGAAGTCTCCTCCTATAATTATTGTTTTTCCTCTGTTCTCCTCTATCTCTTCACTTAGGTATTCATATTTTTCCTTCTTCTCATGTTGCATAGACACCGATACTATCATGTATTCCCTCCCTCCGATCTTTATTTCTCCTACTATTACCTCACTTGTCCTTTCTTTCTTCCATTCAACCTTATTCATCCCTTTCCTCTCTCTTACCGCCATTATTCCTCCCCCTATTTCTCTCCTCCTTCTTCCTTCCCTTCTTGAGTCCCTTCACTCGATGCTATACCCTTTCAGTTGTTTCTCCACACCAGTTCTTGCCCCTACCTCTTCACCCAGGTTTCTGTTAGCCCTATTATGTCGAATTCCCTAACATATTCCCAGTCGTCTTCCTCCATGCTCCTACCCCCCCCCCCCCCCCCCCACGTTCCAGAATAGTATTTTTACTGCCTTTCTCCCCTCTCTCTCCCTTCTCTCCTCTCTCTCTCTTTTATTCCTATTGTTTTCGAAACCCTTCCACCCCCTTTCCTACCATTTTTCCCTCTCTCTCGCTCCACCACCATTCTTCTTCCTCTGATTTCACCCCGTTATGCCACATCTTTACCTCTTTACCTTTACTTCTTATTTCTTTTGCTTTCCTTCTTACCTCCTCTCTTATCCTTCTCTGCTTCCACGTCCAGTCCTGATCTATGTATATCTTTTTCTGTCCCAGCTTCTTTTTCTTCTTCATAATTCCTTCTTTTTGTTCCCATGACGCGCATATAATTTGCCACATGTTTTTTCTTCTTTCTCTCCGATCATCTCTCTCCGCTGTTCCTCCTATTCTTCTCAGATTCACTATCTCTCCTTTCATTTCTAGTTCCTCCCTTAACCAGTCCTGTGCCTCTCCCTTCTTTTCCGATCTTAGCTCTCCCTCTAAGTCTGTCACTATTATATTGTTTATCCTACTTTCTCTATCCATTTTTTCTCTCATATACTCTAATTCTTCCTTATTGCGTACTTCTGTTCCTCTTTGCTTCTTGTTTCCTCCTTCTATACTTTCTTTTAATTTCACGCACTCCTCTTCCAACTGGTTCATCCTCTCTCCCCATTTTTCCTGCAGTTTCTTTTCTCTACTTTCTGCTTTTTCCCTTTCTTTTTTCGTCTCTTTCTTTCTTTCTTCTCTCTCTCTCTCTCTCTCTCTCTCTCTCTCTCTCTCTCTTGTTCTCTCCTAACTTTTCCTATTTCTTTCTCCTATCTTTCTTCTCTTCTTTTCCCCTCTGCCTCCATTCTTTCCATTTTTCCCATTATTTCTTTAAACATTTTTGTCCATTCTTTCCTTTCATCCTCCCATGCCTCTCTTAGATCCCTTATATCTGCCCGTATCTTTTCCATTATATTTTGTGCACCACTACTTTTTCCCACTTCTCTTATCATGTTGTCCAATCCTTCTCCCCCCTCCCCTTCCATCTCGCTCGCCTCGCTTTCACTCTTTCATCTCTTTGCCTCTCTCATTTCTCCTCTATTATTCTCCCTCAGCCCCTCTCCGCTCTCTCTCTCCCCCTCACCACCTTTACTCTTTTCTTCTTTTCCTCCTCTGGGCTTTTCTTATCCATCCTTCCACCTTTATCTCTTAATTTTTCTGTTGTCACAAATCTTTCCATCACTATCCCGTACGCCTTAATTCGACTCTCTAATTCTTCTCGTGATCCCACCTTTATCCCCTGTCTTACCATTTCTGTCTCCGCCTTTACCGCCACTCCTCTCTATCTGCCTTTCCCGCTTTCTGATTTTCTCTCTTATCCTCAACTTTTCTTTTTTCCTTATTCCTCTCTCTGTGCTTTTTCCTACTCTTTTCCAAGCCTCTCTCTCTTTACTCCACTCCTCTTCCGCCTCCACGCTCTTTTCACCTCTATTTCTCTCCTCAAACACTTTTCCTCTTTAACTTTTTCACCAAAACTCGCACTCACAGCCAAGACACGTCCACACTCTTCCACCGGCCTTTCTTCTCTCCTACTTAAATAATATGTTTACACTGATTAATAATGTGCAAAATGTTTAATTAATGTAAACTTTAATAAAAAGCCCGAAAGAAAAAATGTCGCGATACGTGCACAAAAAAGGTAATGCAATAAAATTTGTTACAATGACATAATTTCAATCTAGTTAGTACCATTTCTTATTAAGTAGTATACTTATAGAATAATAAGTAAATTTTATTTATTGCAGTATAATTAAAATTGTATTTACTGAACATTAGTATGCATACTTACACCATGTCCTGAACACTGATGGTTATCGTGATTACTAGGGCATTTATCTAAATCTATGTGAGGGAACTGGTTAGTACAGGTTTGATTAATGCAAATCTGAAACAATTTAAGAATAACATATATTTTATGAATATATTCATATAATATATCGACGTGACGTGCTTTCCGCTTATATATTTTTTATTTCTTATGCTATTGAAGTGAGTTTTATACTGAATATATAATTTTGTTTATTATCTTTATCAAATTAAAACTTTATAGAAAAGGATTGGTTCACAATTAAATATCAGTAATCTTAAAACTTTATACTTTAGTGAAAATAGTCTCACAAATATTTTTTCTATTAGAAAATATATCAGGTACAAGACATTAGTACTAAGAGCATACTAACTGTAATAGTATCTCATTTTTTCACTCTAATTAACTATCATTTTTGGAATTAAAAGAATATGTAAACATATCACGACACCATGAAATAGTTTTAGCTATAAAAGCAAAGCAGCAAGCTGACACTTCAAAGTACATCTGTTTACACTTGGTTTCTTTGTGTTCAGGTACTGTGAGAATTCTAGCATACTTGGCAGCCACCAAGCGAGATGTATGAGAGGAGCAACAAGTAAGAGCAGCGAAAAAGAATGATCGTGAACTAGCTTCACGTAAAACGTACAAGAAGCGCTAGAGTCAGACTACTACACGTTCAGTAGTAGTTCCTAGTATCCTAAGCAATAGAAAGCAAATCTCATCACCCATCATAACCCGCATTCCCTAGTAAGTATACTATTGCTCTGAAGCAAATAACAGACCTGTTGCAAAAGTCATTGCATATAACGAGATCACCGCTGCATGATGAGTGATGAGAAAATGTAAATGGTGAGAGATGTAGCTACTGTTGCAAACATCAATAACGATTTTCTGTCACAGTCTCTTCGTGGATACATTTAGATTAGCTAACACCCAAGACCTAAAACTCCGTCACTCTCCGTGATCTCTCTCTCTCTCTCGCTGTCTCTCTCTCTCTAAATTTTCGGTTAAAATTTCTGAAATGATAGTTTTTGATATCCCAAGGTCTTCTTCTAGTTCTCGCACAGTCATACGACGATCTTGTTCGATTTGCAAGTCGCACCCGCTCAATATTATCTGCGGTTTTTGTCGTCGAAGGTCGGCCGGAACGAGAATCACTATCGACAGAAGTGCGACCATCCTTGAATCATTTATACCACTCTTTTATTCGTGTTTTGCTCATACAGTCGCTTCCGACGGCCTTTTTCATTATTTCAATAGTTTTCGAACTCGTTTTTCCGAGTTGAAAGCAAAATTTGATGCAAATTCGTTGATCTTGTTTTTCAGTCATTTTTGACAATGTAAAAATCCGACGAACACGAAAAAGGCACTGTAAACAAAGACATGAACTATACGTCTGACAGGTGTCAGTAAGTAACCAATAGATTCGTGAGGCTTTACTGTTGACGATTCCGTTCGGTAGAGGTCGCTCGAACACTATGGCGCGAAAATATAAACGTAGGCCCGATACTTCCCGGACAGACCTCGTATAGTCGTTTTAGGTTAACTTGTGAATCCCTATTCCGTTCTCTGTAAATTGCACCATTTTACTTCCTAATCTCCAACCAATTTTGATCTTTAATCAACAGGGTTGGTGCCACTAAGGCGCCAATTTTCAAATCTTTTTAAATTCTGATTTTTTTTACTTTCTGTTTATGACTGGTCAATGACCCAAATCCTGCGCGAAATTCGAACATTTCAAATCGCTGTATCAATCTCTTCTTTCTAAATTACCTCTTGTATTACAGTTTTCTCGTGAAGTTTTGAGACTCAAGAAGGAGAAATGGATAAAAATTGATACAATCTATAAATTTCTATTCTTTGTCATAAATTTGTTTTTAACTTCCAAACTGCTCACTTTTATCAAATGGTCTTGTCTTTAGTGCCGAGTATAGTGAAGCACTGAGTTACCGGGGTAGCAATATCTCGCTTGTGCTAGATTTTTCCATCAGCACGGTACTAATAAAACCTTAGAACCTGATCTCGCGACCTTTATTTGCCGTATCTGTTCTTTCGAGACTAGGGTCTCGGCTAACCCTCGTCAAACTGGTGGCGCGTTTTTACCATCTCCTCGTTCCATTCAAATCGACTCTGCTTCAGCTGGCACCTTTTCTTTCGTTGAAACCTCAGACCGAAAGAAACAGGCATCATCTTACGAGCTCTTTCCGTCGAAGACGTTGAAGGTGGAATCGCGGAATGATTCTTTGAACACTGCCCGATCGGTTGCCCTTCTCATTGTTTCTTCCTCCAGCGCGGACCAAATGTTCTTACTCGATAATACGGCTCCCGCCATGGGTGACAAACTGCCAGCATGGTTTTCCCGTTTCGTAAATAACGAATAAACCGAGTTTCGTAACGAGATTAGAGCCAGCCAGACTTCTATCCTGACCAAAGGCGATCGTGTCGCCGACGAGGTGAAGAGCATCAAATCCGCAGTGGGTCTTAAGGAACATTCCGAGCTCTTTATTCTGGGCCTTCCGCAGGAGTTCCAGGATTCATTGGAGGATGCTGTCAGTATGCTCTTTGAAGCGATTGGCTACCCAAACGCTCAGGATCGCATAGCGGCCACCAGAAAAAGGACTGCTACTCGCTCACGTGCAAATCTGACCGAAAATACCCTGCGGAGTCAGACGCACGCTACTACGTCCGCCTTCGTCATGCGCATCGACTCAACGGTGACGCGTGATATTATTTTGAAGCGCTCTGGGAAGCCCGCTGGGAAGACGGCGAGGGATATCTTTAAATGTGGTTTTGGTAATTCCGTCTTCATCCGCTAGCTGTTACCCTAGCCGATCCACAATCTATTTTTGAAGGCGCTTGCACGTAGCCGCGAGCTGGGTTCCACGCGCTCTTTCGTCTCGGGCATGGTCATTCACATGCGGGAAAACGAGGGTTTCACCCCTTTCTCCATAATGTCGGAGAGTGACATTGATGGCTGTTCGCTTTTGCCTCCTGGCCAGCGTTTTGTTCCGTCTGCTCAGCAATCTGGTGCCATGTGTCTGGCACCCCGATCGGCACTCGAAGATACGCACCGCTCAACCTCAATTTCGCGCCCCAGTTTGCTAAACAACGACCCACTGCCATCATCCCAAAAAACTCCGCTCTGCAAGTTAAGGCAACCGATAGTTCTTTTAGCCCTACAGTGTCTAATTTTGCGCTCAGCTATCAGGAGCGGTGTCAAATCCATTCCTTCCAGTCTTCTTCCGTGTCTGGTTAATAAATCTCCAGTACGATTGAAGCGCTCTTCGGACCAGCCGACGGATGCCGACTTGCATTCCCTCTCTTACTGAAGTACTTATAAAATCCTTCGACTCGGTAGCTCTTCTCAGGTGCATCAAGTTTTCTTCTAGGCGTAAACCCTGGGTGACTCCGAGCATTTTCGCTCTCATGAAAAGGCGTGACGCTGCCTATAAACTGGCATCCTCTTCCCGCTCGGACAGTGACGTCGCTGCGTATCAAAGACTTCGAAATGACGTCTCAAATGCTCTCGACTCAGCAAAACACTTTTGCATCTCTACGACGTGCGACGTTTTTCCAACTTCCTGGAAACGATTTCTCATCACCCCTCTTGCCAAAGTACCTTCGCCCGCTCTTTTATTGGACATCACACCGGTAATAAGGTTATCCGAGGTATCAAAGGTGCTTGAGAGGTTCGTTCATGCACAATTATCGTCCTATCTAGACCGCTGCAAACTGCGTGACCCATGACAGGCCGATTTCGTGAAGTTTCACAGCACTCAGACTGCACTCCTATGTGTCCTTGGTGACATCCGCAAGACCATTGAGGAACGTAAAATTACAATCCTCGTCCTACTGGACTTTTCTAAGGCTTTTGACGTCATCCCCCATGGTCGTCTGATGGTCAAGCTCAGGGATCTGCGCCGATCTAACACTGTCTTGAGTTGGTTTTTTAGCCATCTGACTGACAGGTTTCAGGCCGTTATAGGGAAGGACGGCAGAGTGACAGACTGGCTCCGGGCTGCTACTGGAGTGCATTTTGGGACCATTGCTTTTCGCTATTTATATCTTGGACCTGCCCCTGTCTTCTCCTTCATGAAGTACATGCTTTATGCCGACGATACGCAGGTCTACCTTCACTGTCATCCCGGCGGCCTTGCGGAGGCATTGGAGAGGGTGTAGCTTGATATCCAGGTTATAGCGGACTGGGCTCTAAAAAACAGCATCTCTCCTAACCTTACCAAGACTAACAATAAGGTGATGATACTGGACAGCGAACAGTATGTTAGGGCTATAAACTTGAATGATATCGCGAATTATGTGACCTGCGCTCGTAACCTGGGCGTGATACTGACTCCCACGCTAAATTGGACTAAACATGTTAAAATCGTGACGAGGAGGGCATATGGCTCTCTGGCTTCACTCCGCTTCCACAGCAAATCTCTCTCCACTACCCTTAGAAAAGTACTTGTCGAGCAGCTCATTTTTCCACATTTCAACTACCTGTCAGTGGTCTACATTCAACTCGATGGAGAGCGCTCGTCTAAGCTACAAGTAACCCAAAACGCCTGTGTACGCTTCGTAATAGGATGGTTTCCATATATATCTACACTATCCTTAAACAGTCACATCACCCACCATAGACTAGCCCTAGGCTGGCTATCACTTACACCAAACAAGAGCCCTCGCCGTTCCGGCCTACTCTGTAGAGTTTAGAAAATCGCCACACTACCTAGCTAAAAACTTATCTATCCTGCTTGATAGTGTCATTATCCGGCGCTCGGATCGTCATCCACCATCGGCATATGAATACAAAGCTCCTCTAACTGAGGCCTGGTACCATTCATTTACGATCCTTGCACAAAGGATACTCAACTCATTGAGCATGACCCTGTTCTCGACTGATCGGATCTCTGATTTCAAGGATTAGACACGTGATCTGTTTTTAAATTACGAGGCTAGAGCATGGATTGAGAGAGCGACTCGCGAAAACCTAATGCCAGATTACACTCGCATATCAAACGAGGTCAATCCTGTCGCATTCTCCCAAAATTATCCAATCTCCCACAAAAACTCCA